TTGGGTCTGGGTTTGCCTGGACCAGTCCACGCCTGAGCTCACAGGGTTTTAGAGAGCTCCTGTTATGGTCAGCAGGGAAGCCTGCCTGAGAATAGACCCCACAGCTCACTGGAGAGCAAAGCTGAAATGGAGAGGGGAGCTCACGTGAAAACACCATTTGTTTCAGTTGGGAGCTTTGGAGAGCTCTGGGAAATTTGAGCCAGGGTCCCAGGTTTGTTGACAGCCTTTGGGAAGCACGGTGCCAGTGGCAGGAGAGGTGGAGGTGAGCCCAGAGGTGTCCTTGAGCTGGCTGCAGGAGGGGAGTGCACCGTGCCAGCTTCGTGGGGCCAGGCTGACCTTGCCAGCAGGGCTACCTGGCACTGCTGCTCTCTCCTCCAGCACAGCCCTCGCCAGCAGTGCCCTTCCCCAGCTCACTGCCTGCTGCCCTGCCTTCCCTGGGGGTGCCAGCAGCCCTGCTCCCCACAGCACTGCCTTGCTAGAATAAAGGAGGCACCTGCAGTGCCTGTGCTGGCAGTCATAAATATTCTTCCAGAAATCACACTTCTGTTGCAGAAAAAGCCTTTTCCCTCCCTGTTCCACAGCCTGTGGAGGAACATTGATCTCTCAGACAGCAACCTGGCTGCCTCTAGCAAGCAGTGCAGGATGAGGTGTCTGGTACTGAACACCCTGCAGACCCAGCACTGCTGTCCCAGGGACTGTTGGGTTTCTTCCATGAACAGCCAGGTTTTCTGTAGCTCAGTGTCACAGTTCACTTCCATTCTCAGCTGCCTGAGGTAATTAGTACCAGCTCTTCAGAGGAAAGATTTTTGCAAGCAGAGAGAACATGAGCATGATCTCGGTTGGGAATTAATTGGGTTTGGCCAAGCCTGGAAGAGGAGCAGAGCTGGTGGCTGGGACATGTCCCAGAATGGTGCAGCTCAGGCTTTCCAAAGCTCAGCAGCCCCAGGGTTGGGCTGGAGCAAGCTGGGTGCCTCACTCAGCTCTGCCTCCCAGCCAGGGGCATTGCTTTTAACTCAGCTCTGCAGGCAGTGCAGAGTTTCCACTGTGGGGAATCATTTTGGGCATGTTGGGTGGGTGCAGGTCTCTTCTCCCAAGGAACAAGTGTCAGGACAACAGGAAACAGCCTCAAGTTGCCCCAGGGCAGGGTTCAGTTGTCCCTGAGGAACAATTTCTTGCCTGGAGGGTTGCCCAGGGCTGTGCCAGGCTGCCCAGGGCAGTGGTGGAGTCCCCACCCCTGGAGGGGTTTCCAAGCTGTGGAGATGTGGTGTGAGGGACACGGGGCAGTGGGGACCTGGCAGTGCTGGGGGAAAGGTTGGATTCAATGATCCTGAAGGTCCCTTCCAACCAAAACAATTCCCTGGTTCTGTCATCTGGGCAGCATTTTTGGGCCTGTCTCTGCTTTGGAAAGAGGTGAGCACTGGATGAACTAGATGGTTC